GACGTCATCTTGAAGCCCAGGTGCAGCAGTAGGGGACTCCGGCAGATGAGGTGCTGCAGCCACTGTTTGCTCCTCTGCTTTGTCTCTCAGCATGGTGCCTTCAAACGGATTAGGTATCCTCCTCTGCTTCACCAGGATGGGCACGTGCGTCTGGAAGGGAGGTGGCAGTGCTTTGCCGAGGCATATGGCAGGCGTGTACCACCAAGGGAGACGGCAACGGCACCTGCTGCTTTGGCTGCGAAAGTGGCCGCTCCGCGTTGGTAATGGCATTGGTGAGCCACGTGGCTCCACCGCAGGACGGGTTAGAACTGGTGGCGCCAGAGGTAGAGCCGAAGCCGGCGATGGTTGTGTCACCGAGGGAGTCGTCGAACCGTGGCGAGGTACACACTGTGGTGGCGTGAAGCACATCTTCCAAACAACGACTAGGGGTGATTGGGTCGGAGCTGGCGGCGCCAGAGGCAGAGCTAAAGCGGGCGATGGTTGTGTTACTGACGGAGTCGTGGAACCGCGGCGAGGCGCACACGACGGCTGTGGTGGTGCGAAGGGCATCTTGCGAACAGCGAGGGGTGATCTGGTCGGAATTGGCGGCGACGACGTGTTGCCACCTGCCTGCTACAAACCAGGACCCCGCATTCTCTTGGCGCACGGTGACATGGCAGGCTGCGGCGGCGCTGGCCTCTTGGGTGCCGCCGCTGGCCCGGCTGCACGACGAAGACGACGGACGCGACAGGTGGTGGTGGTGGTAGCGTGAAGAAAGCCGTGGATTCCTGGCGCGCCGCGGATGACGGGGCAGCTCTAGGAGACACATACATCTTGCACAAGACGAATTGGCTCTCGCCGACGACGACAGCGCCCTCTGATCCGAACAGCCGCAGGACTACTCATCCATGAGCCAGTCCGTGTACACGCCGCTCTTCTTGCAGCGAAGCTTCTTGAGCTCGCCGATCTTGGCATCCCCATGACCCCTGATGTTTGCCGTGCTCTACGCATGCCAGGAGCGGACTCTGGCTTTGGTGGCCCGCGCGCGTTTCCTGCTGGCGCCGGGGGTGAAGAAGAACCGGTCGCCAGTCCTGGGCAGAGGGCAGAGGTGGCGCGCGAGGTCGCCAGGCGCCCAGGCGTACACGTCGGCATGGTGGACGACGGGGCGGACAGCGTCGTGCAGCGGCCTTCGGTCGACGAGGCGCGACAGGTAATAGGTGACGGCTTCCTGCGGCGTCAGAAGGAAACGGAAGCTGCAGCTGAAGATCTCAGCGCCAAGGGCCAGCGCCATTTCCCACGACCCGGAAAGGAAACGAATTGAGGAAGAAGGGTGGAGGCCCCGGTGGATTTATAGGCTCAGGCGAGTCGGTGACTGCGACTACGAGAGTCGGATTCTCCATGTTATACTTGTGGTCGGATTCACAAGGTACGGAGGTAGAGACCAAAGGCGGAAGTAGCGATCTTGGTTAAGGGGACAGACAAATGTGATTATATTTTTTAGTGTGATAAAATATATATAATTATATGTTTCAATAACTTTTTAAAACTTTTACTCTATTTACAACCAAGTGATAATATTTTAATAAAAATAAGTGAAAATGATATTTATATAGGTATTACATAAAATCTACCGTGCTTGGGGGGGCGACACCGGCAGAGACATAGGCCCCATTCGGCTTACCTCATATCCGACTTGTTTGGCTTTTTTTTTTCAGCCGGAACAGTGTTTTTCTCTCATAGCATTTTAGCAAGAACAGTGTTTGAGTCGGATTCACCCTATTCTATTCCGATTTCGCAACTACGGAGACGTATATCTACTAGTGATTTGCACGCACTGGGGTGTGGGTAACCTTGACCACGTGGAATTTACTTACTTTTGCCAGATAGATATACATACTTTTTGCTAGACAGGTATGCATACTTTTTATCAGACAGAGCTTATAAATTACATCTATTACTATAAAGAAGCGAAGAAAATGAAAATAGTCTTTCACCCAAATATTTCATACCCACCTTAATTATTATCCCTTAGATCCACTTTAAACTCAAATCCAACACATCTAAATCTTTCATCGTGATCTGATAAGCAGACCCAGTCAGAAACTATTTACATTTACCCTCTGCCGATGCCTCGCTCCCCTGATTTTTTTCACCGACAATTCTATACCCACCCACGCATACCCACACCCACCCCCGCAAGGCCACAACAGCGTGACCATGCTTTCTCCTCCCCAGTCGCGACGCTTCGTTCCCGCGCAACCCTACGTCTTATTCACTTAACTTATAAGCCGCACTTCTTCGACGAACCAACCATATTTTTTGTCGAACGAGAAATCAGCCGAGCCCACGGTCAGCCAAGCGAACGGGGCGCTATCTTGTACACGAAACCGCGACGCTTCTTCCACAAGGATGGAGTCGCGCCTCCGCCTGTCGCCCCCTCCGCTCTACACTCCGTCCCTCGCCGGCTCGCCCCTTCCCTCTGCGCTCACGGCTGGCCGGCCTCTGGTCGCGGTAGGCGGAGTCGGAGTTGTTGCGGACGAGGGAGGAGACGCGGAGATCGAGGCCCCCGAGTCGTTGAAGGTGGACTGGTGGACGTACTCCGCGCCGCCGTCGTCCTGGATGATGCCGCAAGAGGTGCAGACGAGCGCGCCCGGGGTCTGGATCCGCCTCCGCAGAGAAGGCCAGCAGCACCGCGAGGAGCGAGAGTGGGAACCGGCCGGTGGTGAGCGACCACTTGGAGGTGCAGCGGAAGAGGAACCGGGCCTGGGCGAGAATCGCGTCCGTCTTGTGGGCCGCCGTGGCGTTGAACGAGGGCGCGAGGTGCACGGCGCGGTCGAGCGTGGCGGCATAGTCGAAGCAGGGGAGGTGCGGGAGGGATAGCTGGTCTGCGACGCACAGCGCGGTCGCCGACTACCTGTCCGCCGGCGCGCGCCACACCCACAAAGCCGACGTGTTCATGACGGTGGGCGGCACAGGCGCCATCACCACGGTGCTCGGCGGGACTCCAAGGGCCAACATCCTCCTGCGGTACTGCTGCACCCGGCCTTCGCGCCGTACGAGGCGGCCTGCGAGATCGCCGGCGCCGTGCCCCGGTTCTACGACCTGGTGCTGAGGCGTGGCTGGGAGGCCGACCTTGCCGACATCCGCGCGCTGGCTGACACATAGGCGGCAGTTCCAAAGATTCTCAGTTGACCATCATGAGTTCCATAGGAATGTTGTTTACCTGCTTGAGTCTGCAGCTGACGCTCTGTACAGAAGAGTGAACCAAATTGAAGCCCTGAAATGCTATTCAAAGCCTGAGGGTTCAATGTTTATCATGGTTAGTCAGAGATACACAAGTTTCAGTATTCGAAAGTTTGTTGCTTCCCAATAATACAAAGTGTTGATCTTCACAAAATCCCGCAGGTTGAGATCAACACTTCAATTCTATACGGTGTTGCCGATGACATGGACTTTGCACGTGAACTGATCAAAGAAGAATGTGTCCTGGCTCTACCTGGTATAGTTCACTTGATTTCTTGCAAGATTATTTTTCCAACCTTTAACAGGTGCATTGGTTTCTCTGGCTGCTGAAAGTTGAACGTTTGTAAAATTTGCAAAAAAAAAAAAAAATTGCAAAATTGTATTCTGAATGAAGGCATGTAGTCTTTACTACCTTTACCTTGATGTTTAAAGTAAGTCTGATTACGGTATGATTACTCATGGTTACTGCATTTTCGTTTTGAGAAAATTATCAAACCTAAACATATATAAGCAGCCAATGTTGGAGTAGTTAAACAATACTCAGAAAAAAACGTCTTGGGAGCTGGAGTGGCTATTTTCCTTTGGTCGTCTTCTGTTCTCCAGGAATCTTCTTGCTACAGTAATATGGCAATATAAGAATGTGCTAATTCGTCCCATTAGAAGAGGTGTTAGATAGCAAGGACGATGGCTCTTTTGTTCTATAATAATTCTCACATGTTTCTGTTCTATCATTCGCACATTGTATTCCCCTGTATATTGTTTACTGAACCACACTTAAAAGGCCCCAAATCTTCCCAAAATTAACATAAGTCTTCAGTTAATGTATTACCATTTCTAATATTTGATTTCACTTATTGGTTACCTTATGTCTTTATACATTTTTAGATGGTTTATATCTTTGCCATCTTGAAGCTCCATGGTCATGGCATATTTCAGATTAAAGGCTGAAGAAAACATGGTGGACAGTGGCATTTGTCAAGTGGTTCAATCATTCTCTAATTTGTCAGTACAAAGGAGTTCAAGAGATTTCAGAATTGAACCAAGCAAACATTAAAGAGGTGAACTCATCTTTTAGTTATTTGGAATGAACAAGATCAAATTTTCATTAAGGATTGAATTTGGGTTGTAAAAACGGTCACCGTGAGCATAACAATTTTTTTTATATGCTATAGGAAATGACTTCGAAACATATCTTTGCTATTTGGGTATTCCTCTATAAGAAACTTGTATCGGACACGCGCGTGTATATATATAATGCTTAGTCCGTGATGTCATAGGAGCAACTTCCATCGCACGTTTAGATATGAGTATGTATTACCGTAGACACGTGCGTGTCGCACGTGCATGGCCACTAGTTAATTAAAACATATTATATGGGAGTTAACCTCCTTTCATGCGATGGTTATTGTATATTTTTATAGTAAAATTGCAGTTTCAATTCGTTGTAATTTTTGTAGACATAAAATCTGCAATTTTTTTTATCCGAGAATAAAAAATCTAAAGATAAATCTACAAACCTGACAATCTGATATATGTTAGCACAAAGACAATTAGTAATTTATAATTTTTTAATAGTTAGATAGGGACAAATATTAATATATTGTAACACAAAGATAATTAATAATTAATAAATTATAAACAAATCAGAAAAGGACAAATACAATATAGCTTTGCCACACGGCCAACACGTTGGCTGATGTAACTCAAATTTTCAGACACATGACGTTTAGGAAAAGTGCAGAAATAAACTAAGTTGGGTGCTGAAACTGACCCAAGTTTCAAGCACCAAATTGTATCAGCTTCTCCAAATTCATATATGACGATCCTCCATGGTCCAAAGCAGTCTTTGCTTTGGCCTTCAGCTCCTTAACTTTCGTCTTCCTTGCCTCCCCATCCACTCCTCCGTCCATCAGCATATCCAACACTTGCTTCACCTGTTCCATTCCCACATCCGGCTTCTCCTTGCCGCCGCCGCCACCGGTGAGCACGCTCTCCGTGGGCTTCGTCACGCCGACAGACACTCCGATGCCAAGCACGTCAACGATCAACCTCTCGTTTAGGAACTGCTCGGCGTAGAACGGCCAGGTGGCCATGGGCACGCCGGCCGCGACGCTCTCCAGCGTCGAGCCCCACCCGCAGTGCGTCAGAAAGCCGCCGACAGCCGGGTGCTCCAGAATGGCGACCTGAGGCGCCCACCCGCGGACTGCAAGACACTGGCTCTCCGGGAGGCCGTCACCGTCGGTGTTGTGCTGTAGCCACTCGTTGACGTCGTCGGGCAACGTGTCTGCACCCTTGATGACCCAAAGGACAGGCCAGGGGCACGACACGAGCGCCAGTCCGAGCTGCATCAGCTGCGCTGGAAGCATGCGCCCGGCGCTGCCGAAGCTGACGTAAAGCACGGACTCGTCTTTCTTGGCGTCCAGCCACGCCATGCACCGTCTGGCGTCGTCCGAGCTGGCCCGCAAGTCGAGGAGGCTAGGAGGTGCGCCGCACAGCGAGACGGGACCGACGGCGATCACGGTCTTGCCCGTGGCCGCCGCGAGGCGCGCGGCCGAGTCGCGTTCCAGCTCCTCGAAGCTGTTCACGACGATGCCGTCCACGGCCAGCTCGAATTCCCGGAGCTCCCGATGGCGGTCCTGCGGAATGGAGGAAGAAGGCTGGAAGTGTATCGGCAGCTGCCTCCTGGAGAACTTGAATTCGAAAGGCGGCAGGAGCGGGACGTCAAAGAGCTCGTCCAGCGACTCGACTGCCTCGTGCGGTTTGTGCGTGTTCAGATACTCGCAGCACAGCAGAGCGAACGCAGAGAAGCCATGGAAGATGAAGCAAGGCGCACCGAGTTCACGGGCCACGCCGTGCGCCCACGTGTGGACCATCCCGGCGACGACGCAGCTCGGCCGGTGCGTCGCCGTGAGGAGGCGGCAGTGCTGCGCCACGGCCTCGCCGAACTTCGTGGTGGCGACGAAGAAGTTGGGCACGAGGTCAGCCGAAGGGATGTGGTCGGTCCTCTCGCAGCCATCCGGCAGGCCGGCTTCCGCGCCCGGGAACGGGATCGCGGTGACCGTGATGCCCGCTGAGCCTTGCCCGGCGCGGTCCACGCGGCTCTGGACGAGCTGCGAGCTGGCGGGCGTGGTGATGATCGTGACGGAGGCGCCGTGCGCGGCGAGGAGGCAGCCGATGTCCACGATGGGAATCATGTGGCTGGTGGCTGGCCATGGGATGACCACGAAATGAGGCTTTGGGCACAGGGTGGCTTCCATTTCCTATATTGCCGTCACCTTGCTCAAGACTGCAAGAACTTTGCACAGGGGTGGTATCTGCTTGTAAGGATTCACAATGCATGTTTTGCTTCTGCTAGCAGAGATTATATATACCGAAGAACTGCAGTGGACAAAGCCAAGCAAAACAAGATTGGTGGCGACATGTGCATTGTCGTTTTTGTATAGCCTGAACTAACTGATAAGGACAGGCTGGCCGCCCACGCTATGCCGACGCTCCGCATAGCGCTGGAGCTAGACGTACGCCTACTTCCACCGTAGCTTCACCATGGCATTCGCCGGTTTGCACAACGCCGGTGATTTGCAGGGCGGCGGCCGGGTTTGCATAGCGCCGGTGCTGCTTGTCAGTGTGAACGTTGCTCCATTCGTTGATGTAATTGGAGATTATTTGTTGGTTTGTATACAACTCGATCACAGAAATAGGCCTGGGTTCTTGGGAGGTTGAGCAATTCGATTTGAATTTGATGCCATGGCATTGCTGGCTTACACTGATCCTGAATGTTGCAATTTTGCCTACAACTGTTGTCCTGATGGCGACCGCAGATTATCCCCTTGGAATTTCTCTCGATGGCGACTGCAGATTAATCCATCTGGCTTGACACTCAGTTGTGTCCATAAGAGACCGCATTCGGGCCGCCGTCAATGGCGAAGTTAAACAAATTATAGAGGATGTACTTGCCTTATACGTGAAAGAACTTGTCATTTTTTAGCAGGTATATGTGGACGCTTGGCAAACAGCCGCAAACCAACCAAGCCCGCAGTGCTAGTTTACGTAATGATAGTGACAGGTTGGGACATTTTCATTTTTATTTTCTCTCACTATTGTGGTAATTCTTAAGTCTTAAGTGTTTGTAAGTCGTTTTGGTTTTTTACCACATAGTCAGGGGCCAAGCTACAAGCGAACCCCCTAGTGCACTATCTAAATAACATATACAATATTACCATAATATATAGTGAAAATGAGATTATAAAGTGGTAAAAAAAAAAAAAAAAAAAAAAAAAACCATTGTGCCATGGCACCAGAAAACTTGAACCTGGCTTCGCCCCTATACATATATATACTATGCATCTAACACAGCGCATATTCATGTGTTATGTACCTAGAAAACGCAAAACAACTTACGATTTGAAACATGGAGTTGATTACACATATATAGATATACTTCAAGTGTTTTCAAACAAAATAATTTAAACAAACCTTAAATAGATATTGGTAGCTTTTAATCACTACTGGAAACGCGTACTTTGCCGAGGGCCTGAGGCTTTACCGAGGGCCAAATATCGGGCACTCGGCAAAGAGACTCTTTGCCGAGGGCCAGACACAGGAGCCCTCGGCAAAGAACGGCCCTCGGCAAAGAGGTCTTTGCCGAGGGTACGGCCCTCGGCAAAGACAGGCCCACGACAAATCAAATCTTTGCCGAGGGCCTAGGCCCTCGGCAAAGATGCCCTCGGCAAAGTAGGCCCGTTTGGTCACGGCGGCCATTTCCCGTCAAACTTTGCCGAGGGCCACCCGTTAGGCCCTCGGCAAAGGTTCGGCAATTTTTTTTAAGTCTTTGCCGAGGGCCCCAGACCAGGCCCTCGGCAAAGTTTTTTTATTTTTATTTTTAAAATTCTTTGCCGAGGGCCATGGGTCAGGCCCTCGGCAAAGAGCCCTCGGCAATTTTTTTTTTTTTTTTTAGCCCAGTTTTTTTGTGGTGCTACAATACATTGTTTTGAACTCAATTTTAAAATTTAGGCTAATTTTGATTTTGTTTTGTATATTTCCTTAATTTATTTCGATTCTTTGATTTTTTTTGAATATGTCAAATTTGAACTGCAGGTGCATGGAATATTGCAATGTAGTGTTTCAAAAAATGTTATTCATGTTAATTGGTGCATGTTGAGTCCCTATCCACGAGCTCGCATCAAATTTTTTTCATGCATCGTAACATGTTCCGACTTACTTAGGAAAGTGTTTTAAAATTATATGGCGATCGACTTCTTGAAGGAAAGTGTTTTAAAATTGCATATCCACATCACATTTAGTCCCCTCATGTGGAGATGTTGGCTGGCAGCATCCGACATGTTATCACATGTCAGGCTGTGGTAAAAATTTTTTTTACACAGCCTACACATGCGATAACATTTCGACAAGTTTCGTGATTTTTGGACTTCGTATGTATTTTATATAATTTAAAAACACCTTTTCGACAAGTTTCTCGTCATGTTACGTGAAGAAGATGCCCGAAATTTGATGCGAGTTCGTGGATAGGGACTCAACATACACCAAATACCATGAATAACATTTTTGAATCACTAAATTGCATTATTCCATCCACACTGCAGTTCAAATTTGAAATATTCAAAAAAATCAACGAAAAAGAAATAAATTAGGGAAATATATAAAAAAGTCAAAATTGACCCAAATTTTAAAATTGAGTTTTAAATAATGTATTATAGCACCACCAAAAAACTGAGTTCAAAAACCAAAAAAAAATGCCGAGGGCTTAGCCCTGCCTCTAAGAAGGGGATCTTTCGAGGGCATGGGGCCAATGGCCTCGGCAAAGAAAATTAAAAAAAATACTCCGCTTACGCTTTTCCTTCCCCACTCTCTGCTCCTTCCCGACGCTTGTCGTCCCTCCTCCGCACTGTGCCCACCTCCCCACCGAAGGCCAGAAATAGCCCCGCCCGGCGAGGTTATGTGTTGTTAGCAAGCACCGCGCCCGCTTTTTGCCACCCACGGGCAAGCACATCGTCCTAGGCGCTGGAGCCTCGTGACCCTCACGGTGCTCGGCGCGGACGCGGCGGCGCCCGTCGCCCCACGTACCGCATCGCCGCCGCCCGCTTCGCCCACCGCAGATATCTCGCCCTCCGCACCCTCTCCTCCCGGATCTTGCTCTCGCAGGTTTCACGCGACGGTGCCGCCGTCCCTCGTAAGCGTCAACCGGCGTCTCCTCGCCTCCGCCATCTCTTCTTCGCGGCAGCTCTAGGGTTTCCCATCTCGATCCGGCTCGATCTACATTTTCGCCCCTTGACGCAGGAAGATATCTGCGTGTGCGCCGAGGCGCGCCGCCGACGATCGGTCGCAGCAGCTCTACCATTGTGTATCGGGAGCCGTTCAGGAGTACATCGACTCCACGGTGAGCCGCCTGTTCATAACGGGTCCGCTTTGCCTATTTACCCTTCTCGCTACACAAAGGTTCTTCTTAGTCTAACCATGCTCCTCACAAATTTCAGATCATGCCCGAATCTTCCATACCATCCATGTCTGTTATATGGATCTAAGACCCCCGTCCCCTTCGCCTTATTCGGGTAGTATAAGCTTCTCTTTGTGATTATTTGGTCCGAACTCTGTTCACCTTCATTGTGTCTTCCATCTTTGCAAATTATGACCTGCTAGCTTTCCCTTTCATGTATTGCTTGCACGACTCACCAATAGCTTGTGATTACATCACGGCGATGACATACTTATCAACTTAATTGTGCATCATCTACGGTTCTATGCTTGGCGACTAACCGTTCTCTCATTGTCGAGTATTTAACAAACTTTCACATATACTGTTACCTCGCCGCACATGCTTGTGACTTGAAGCAAGCGAGCCAAGCGCATATTAGCACATGCTTGTGTGACAAGCAAGCAGATGCCAACCGCTAATCGCATATTAGCACATGCTTGTGACTCAAGCAAAGCAGCCAACCGCGGCATTTTATTTGCCCTCCTCTTTGTTGTTGTTTTCTTAATTACTGTTATAGTGGCATAAATTAATTTGTTCTATCTTAAAAAAAGTAAGTCGATGAAGGGAGCCAATCGCTAAGCGCATATTAGCACATGCTTGTGACTCAAGCAAGCAGACTAACCGCTAACTGCATATTAGCACATGCTTGTGACTCAAGCAAAGCAGCCAAGCTGCATTTTATTTGCCCTCCTCTTTGTTTTTGTTTTCTTAATTACTGTTATAGTGGCATAAATTAATTTGTTCTATCTTAAAAAGTAAGTCGATGAAGGGCGGGCCCTTTTTTAAAAAAAAGTAAGTCGATATTTTTCATTTGGCTTTTTAGTTGTTGGCCAAGTAGGTAGAATCTGCAATTGTGAGCGTGTCAAAACTTCATTGTCATCTTCACCATCCTCCCCGCCCTCATTTTGTGTGTTGCCATCTGTACCTACTGAGATGGGGGCCAACAGTTCAGGTTTCTCCCTTTTGTAGGTATATCTTGCTTTGCCTTTGCGTCTCATTTGTGCATGCTTCTATTGTGCAGCAATAGCCTTTAGTTGCTCCTGTTTTTTTGTGTTTCCTCACGTTACTGCTTGCCCGGCCAGTCTAATTTCAGACTGATGTTATGTGTAGCTTTTCCCTCCCTTTTTTTGCGAGTAACGGCACATTGTTAATTACAAAACTCCCTTTTTTGCTCCATACACTCCAATTTACAGCAACGGTTCCTAATATGCTTGCAGGGAAGTATCGCAAGGGTAATTGTGTGCAAATATTTGCATCTATCATTTATGCAATATTATGGATATGCTTGTGCTCAGCTAAAGCAGCAGCTATAGTAGTACTTCGATATCTTACTCAGTTGGCTCTTGAACTACAAGAAACAAAAGTAGTTGCTCCTTTTGTAGGATTCTGAGATGTTGGTCACACTAACACTAGTGTTGTTAACAGATAATCAAATAGGATGAAAAAAGTCATTTGTGCAACTGTTTTTTTCTTTTTCCTGTTACCAATCTTAAGATAGCAAAAGATCTTAACAAGTTAAGGTAGTATCTGATCAATTTAACAAGGAAAGAAAGGAATGAAAAATGAATGACTTGCAAAAATATCTGTACCAACATATCTTTATCTAAGAAGTATCAGACTTGAAGTGAAATGAAAAGAGTTCGAAGTAAAATAATGGGCCAATGTCTGTTTTTCCATAGTCCGACTAAGCAGACCACACCGACAATGTCTCTTGGTGGATTTTACAAGTAGTTGTCTCTTGCTACATTCAATTCCTTTGAATTTCTT